GAGCGGCTAGTTGTGCGCGCTCAGCCCAACAGCCGAACGTCTCGAGGGTGCCCCGGCATTGCTGCGATGCGCCAGACCGATGCTCCTCGCCCCAAGCCCCAGACCGATGCTCCTCGCCCCAAGCCCCGCACCGATGCTCCTCACCCCATGCCCTGCACCGATGCTCACCACCCCATGCCCTGCACCGATGCTCACCACCCCATGCCCTGGACCAATGCTCACCACCCCAGGCCCTGGACCGATGCTCATCACCCCATGCCCTGGACCAATGTTCACCACCCAGTGCCCCGCACCGATGCCCACCACCCCATGCCCTGCACCGATACTCATCACCCCATGCCCTGCACTGATGGTCACCACCTGATGCCCTAGACCAATGCTCATCACCTGGTGCCCCGCACCAATGGTCACCACCTGATGCCCCAGTCCAACGCTCATCACCCCACGCCTTGCACTGATGCTCACCACCCCATGCCCATCCCACGGCCAAGGGTTCATCATGAGCTCTGCTCCTGCCCCAACCCTCCCACCCCCCTGACGATGCTCCTCCATCCTGCACGTGCAGCGAGAAGGAGGGGGTTTGGGCATACAACAGCACCTTCGTTTCTTCCTCCCCTCTGCCAGTCACCCCCCCGCCCTTCGGCAGTTCTCAGACTTGCATTATTTTTTTTAAAGTCTACTTCACTCCTGTAAATGGGCCTGTTCTTAAACGCGGGCTAAAACAAGGCAGGCAATTCCCCGGGCACTGGAGCTAGCAGTGCCTGATTTCTTGGGTTTTGACTTAAAACTTCTCAAGCAGTTCGGGTGTACAAAAGAGATCGCTCCTGTGTGGAATCTCTAGTGTCTGATAAAGGCTCAGCTCGCGCTGTTGGGTTTCCTTTACTGGGAACGCTTGAAGGGTTGGACCTTCTCCCCTTCGAGGTTCATTATCATGAACATTGTCCTCTCTGAGACTTCTCAAGTTCCATCAAATATGGTTAAAACGACCGAACAAGCCCAAGGTTTCCTAGGGAGGGGCTGAGCGAAAGGCACGTTCCTGTGGAGGTGGGACTGACTCTGCATCCGCTCCCGTCTCCGGACCGCAAACCCTCATCCAGCTCCCCGTGGTCAGAACAAAACCATCTGGACCCAAGACCACGCAGCTCAAATGTCCTGAGACACCAATCTCAGGACGCAAAACCATCTTCACTCCTTGGAGGGGAGCGTTGGATGCACTGGCATGCCTCCTCACGTGGGTTTTTCCACTTCAAACCAGAGGAACGACAAAAAAATAACCAGATAATCCTTGGAAACACACACAACGTGGGTCTCTTCTCGCCATGCAGCGTTGACTTGGTGTCTCTGCCCAACTTGCTGGGCGTTAAATCCCTATGAGAAAAGCAGGACTGGCCGCGTGCTTCTTCCTCGCCTGCAGCTTCCCAGGAGCAGAAGAAACGCAAAAGGCAGAGAACTCGAAAGCAGCGCGGACACCGGAGAGCATCCCGGGTGGAAAGGGACTGGGCTCATTCCAAGCCAGCAGCTCCACCTCGGGCTTGGGGTCAGCCCGGATGCGTGGCTGAAGTGCTGCACCAGTGATGGCCCAGAGCAAATGGGTCCATCAGAAACCTCTGCTCTGGTCTATGCCGCTTCTGCTCCTGCCATGAGCGTTGGAACTGCTTGTTCTTACCATGCCAAAACACTTGGTTTCATGGCACTGAGAAACACCCTGGTTCCACACTCGTTCCTTCTGAACTTAAACCTCAGCTGTCCCAGTGCTCCCAGTTCCCTCCAAACCCCTTTCTTCCGGAGAAAACAGAACTTGCGCGAGACTGCAATCAAATCGACTTAGCAGAACGAAACGAAAGGCCAACGCTGTTTCTTTATCAACTGATCTAAAAACATCTGTTCTTGCCATAACCCAGCTTAGGATCACCCGACACCCAGCATCACCCTGGAAGCCAGCACCCACGGCGTTCGCAGCCCATCCCCGCCCAGACCGCGGCCCCCCAGCTCCGCACCCTCTGCAGCCTTCAGGCCCTTTATTTTTTTGCCCTTTGAGGGCTTTTTGGTGAAACTCCAGCACTGATGTAAGCAGCACGGGGCAGCAGGACGGGCAGAGCCGGCTGGAGCCAGGGAGACGCGGTGGGAATCGGCGGGGTAAACGCCGACCGCACACGCAAAGGAACTTCATGGTGGTTTCCCTTCCCAACCAGCGCCTGGGGTTTTATTGCCGAAGCTTTTCCAACCATTATCCTGCCCCAAACACGGCTGTGAACCCGGCAGGATCCGTCCCTCCCACTGGGAGACACCGGTCCCTCTGGAGATGCTCTTGCCGGCACCCCCGGACACAGCATCCATCCCACCCCTCCCGAAACCCCGCGTACCTCCTCTGCTGCCGATAGCCCGACAGCTCCAGGAGGGATTTCCGAGGGAAAGACCGAAAGAGTTTCTGCACCTGCTGTTTCCATGACAGCAGCCGCTTCTTCTGGATCTCCGTAAACGCCTGCCCCCAAAAAAATAAAAAGGGAGAAAAACAGGAAACATATGAATATATTTCTGGACAAAGCGAGCAGGGATGTGTACGTGGGGGTGCGTGTGAAGAAAAGCAGGCGGTGGCGTGAGCTGAGCCCCACTGGCAAGCCCAGAGGGAAACCCTGGTCCCTCCTGAGGTTTCACTCATCTCAAGTGGAGAAAACACTCCGGCAGCGTCCCCTGGGCCC